TCTCTCTGGGTGAATGATTTTGAGCTAGTAGTCTGTGCAAATGTTATGCTGCATCGAGGTCCTCTTGTTGGTCTATATCTGTCTACACACTCCTTGCGACCTGTATGAGTTGACCCTGCTTGAATGTCACCGCTCCTGCTCAATGCAATCACTTTGCAGTCAAACACTGCCTTCCGTCCCAGCACATACTGCACCTGCTCCACATACCCATCCACCTGCTGCTGCATGAAGTACCCCAACTGCATCTGCTGTGGTTGGTACCTCTATGAGCGCCTCCACTAGCGTCTCCGGTGTGTTCATAATTTCTCTAGCATGATTTTGTTCAGTGTGAACTTGACTGAAGGGAGAACATAACTTGTTCATGATCATAAGCACATCATCAAAGTGCTTTGGCCAATTCTGTGGCATGGTCTCCTACCTCGTTGTGTTCCACGCATCCTCCCCAACGTTCAGTGCTCACAATCTCGCCAAGATATGTATGAGGATTTTGTTAACACCTCCACAAGTCCTGCTCCCTATGCACCTTCTATGTCATTTCCACCACCTCTGCCCATGTCACACATTCCCTCCATGACTTTGTATGACCCTGCATGCTTGTCACAGCTGCCTATTCTCCACAAAGTACTCAGATGTGCAATGCCCTGCCTTGGCCCTTGCACATTTCAATGTGCCTACATCCAGCTTGTGGATCACATCCAACACTTCCACATACATCGGGCTTGCCCCCAACCTCTCACTCATCACCCCTGCAGGCAACAGTATGATGAGGAAGATATCCACATCCCCAGCTTCTCTAATCCTGACTCTGCCTCCCAATCTGACAACATGGTCCACTCATGCCCATCATTTGGTTGCTCCTCCACTATGTCATATTTTCTGCTCAAGACATCTGCCCCAGCATTGGCTGTCCCCTTGATGTGTTTTGCGCTGACAATGTTGTACCACAGTACTCCATTCCTCCACTGCTTCATCAGGACAACCTACAACACCTGGAAATCTGTTTCAAGTGAGACTAGCTGCCCTCAAATGACATTAACAAATTTATTGAGACTGAATTTTAACACAGCGAATTCAAGAAGATGCAGGGGGTATCACTTCTTGGTCAATGAGGTGGGCTTTGATGCATAACCAATTAGGTGTCGGCACATGTTCCTGCCTGGTAACAATGTCTTCATCTTCTGTGACAAGATCACTGCTATTCCTTCCTTACAGCTATCAGAAGTCATGATAAAGGGACACAATGGTCACCCAGCAGGAACATGTGTAGATTGTTCACTGTGGAGGTGTCGACACAGGCAAGTAGATCATGTAGTAGAGCTTCCACCCAGACATAGTTCTTGACAAGATCAGGGAGGTGGAGCCTAAAAAGACAGCTTCTGTCATGTATAGTTTTGTATTCTTTGCAGAGAGTGGCAGCTTTGTCTCTCAGACATGCGCAAAGATCGTCTGAAGCTGCACTATCATCCCCTCGAAATTGTCTACCACTATTGTCGACCAACAGCTCCATCAATTCATCCTACTACCACGAGCTCATCAACTTGCCAGTTGACAGCAACATTTTGGGGTTTGGACCAAGGATGCTGTGGAGCTACCCCTGTGCTGAACTCCACATCCGGCGGTATTGTTGGCATGTATCCCAGCCCATCAACCACATGAACCTTGCCAACAAACAACACAAAGATGTCTGCATGTTCTCCAACCACCCTGTGCCCTATATCACACTGTGATCTTGTCAAATCAAATCAAATCTCAACAATGTCCAAGACTGCTGCCACACATGTGGGATTGAACAGGTCAGTCATGAGTGTAAAGATAGTTCCACTTGGCAATGGAGGTGCTTGTGAAATAAGGTTAAAGGACATCCAAGAGAGTAGGATTTTGAGGAGGACTTGCCTCACAGGGGGAATCACGCACAATATCACCCCTGTTGAGGCTTCACGTGTCTCTGCATTACACTCAAACAACTTCTCCTCGTCAATGACCTCTAACTCCCCTTCAATGTTGTTTGTAAGCCCGCTGCTTACATCACACATACTTGGATGAGTTACTGTGACTGTTACGTGACTCTAGACTTGTTTCTCTTACCACAATAGTGCTGTGCATACTATGTGCATAGCCTTACTGCTGTGTGTCTGAGACATATATATGTAGCTAGTGTACAATGGATTCTGGGCTTTTCGCCTCCCCATCTGTGACCCATCTAAGACCTGCCTTTTCAGCTACCATCTGAGACCATCATCTGTCAGACATGGTAGCCAATACTATGCGGGAAATGCACAGAAGGCCAAGGTTGTGCTCAAAAAGGGAAAGGAGAATACATATTGTTAGTGGAGATATGACCAGCTCAAGACTGTATATATATTGTGGTAAGTGTATCTGTAAGCATGAGAATGTTCTAAGTAATAACAGGAATACTACTATCAGCTTCTCCATCAGCATGACTAACTACATCTAACTATAGTAGCAGAAGCATCATAGCATGTTAGAACAGGCAGCACAGAGGTCTGAAGTCAACAGTGAGAACTCTTGTGCATTGCAAGGAAAAAGGAAGTAAGTACTAACCTGAAGTCAACAGTGAGAACTGAGGACTCCAGGACTACACTAGCCTATAATCAGAGGATCAAAACTGGATCATTGCATAAGCAAGAATGCGAGAATGTCATAGTCCAATCACAGGCTCCAACAAGCAATGAAGCTCAGTGTGTTCACAGACCAAGCCACTGCCATCATGAACTACTCAGTAAGTCAGTTACACTTTGGGCAGGGATCAGCCACCATTGTTTATAGTGTAATATTTCTTCATGTTATCGCCATGCGAGGCTGCACTGGGAACATAGTTGCCTTTGGCTTCCCTCTTTGCCTTTCCACCCCAGCACTCATCCCATTGTGTCCTGCCAATCTTGGATACAACAGCCTGGAGTGCCTGACATACTCAATCATGCTCACCAGGGTCCCCTTAGCCAAGGTAATCGGCCTATAGTACAGGGTCGGGGTCTTCAACCGTCTTGACCCAGGCTGAACTCGGCCCTAATCACATTTGCCAGCTGGATCCCCACCACTTTGGCTACCGTCACATGCACCTCCCACCACATAAACTCTACAGCACCACTCTCTCACTGATAACTCCATTTTTTATATGAATCACCACCAGAGAGAGCCTGGATACACTGAAGGATATCATCCACTGTGCAATGAACCTCTGTGAATAGACCTCAATCCATTCACACATGAGGTCTACACCAACGAATGAGCAGAGCCACCATCAGGAATTCTGACACAAGAACAGGTCGTGTTCCACATAAAGAGTTTGTCGGAAGGAGGAGGGAATGATGTTTCAGAGTCAGGGTTGTGCACAGAGCATACAGGGGAGATCCTGATACTGCTGGGCACAGGGACATTGTCGGGCGCAAGGGCACAAACCTCTTCATGCATAGAAGCAATTGCACCAGCCAGCGGCCACACAATAGGGATGCTGTTTGTTAGAAAAGTAGGTTTTGCAAAATAAATTATAAAATTCACTTTTCTGCCATCTTGTCTTGCTGAGCTGCACATGGTACACCACACTAAATTAAAACGCAAGAAGGCAAAGGCCACTGGGGATCTCAAAGAGAAGCGGATGCTAAGAAAAGTCTCATGCAGGTGATTGAGCAGGCACAGAAGTAGTGCAGGACAAGCAGCACATCAAGATAGCCAAGTACAGTGTTGTCTCAATTGTGGAACCAGTACAAGAGAAGCACACAAACATGAGAGCTGGCTGGCCAAGGAGGAAGCAGACCCTGTTGTCATGGAGTATGCAAACAGGGGGTTTCCTCTGAGCCACTGCAGACTCAAGGAGCAAATTGATAAAATTGCTAGAGCACGTTGGGGAGCCCGGTTTCAGGAAGGTAGCATGGGCAAGCATTTGTTGCAGTCTGTGATTGGACTGTGACACTCTCACATCCTTGATTATATAATGATCCAGTTTGGATCCTTGCTGATGTAATGCTGACTGACCACTGGTCCCACACACCTACTTTCTTTTTCCTTGCAATGCACAAGAGTTCGCATTGTTGACTTCAGACCTCTGTGCTGCCTGTTCTAACATGTTGGGAAAAGTGGCTGAGCTGGGGATTGAGCCCAGAACCTTCTCATTACATGTGAGATGCTCTAAACTGAAGGTATTCCAACTGACCTATTCTGCTAACAGTGTGAAGGGAACCATCAATTTGCATACTGCAAAAATGCCAACTGATAGCTTGGATTGCTGCAGCGCAAACTCTCTATTTGTTGTCACTGATTTTTCACAAAATTCATCCAGTATCCATCCCAAACATTTCTCCCTGTACTACATTATATATACAAATAAATTCACAACCAAGGACATCCTGAACAAAGACTGTTTGACTACCTCTTCACCCAGTTAAATCCCACCATCTCCTCCAGAATCCCCTCGGCATTCAGCATTATCATCTCCGGCCCATGGACAGTGACCTCCAGCATGAACTTGAACGTCAGCTTGAGGTACTGAAAGTTGTAGTTGAACCTGGCCAGCCTCAGGGAGTGAAGCACGGTGTTATTCTCATGGCCTCTACAGTTCTGTTGAACTCTGTTTGATTAGACGCTGCTATACATATTCCTGTGCACACAGCCTTATTGCTGTGACACATAGTCTTACTGCTGTGCATAGCCACCTGTGTGTCTCAGACATATATATGTAGCTAGTGTACAATAAATTCTGGGCTTTTCTATCTGTGACCCATCTGAGACCTTCGGCTACCATCTGAGACCATCTGAGTTTCCTCTTCCAACAAGTTCTTGCAAATTGGGGCAACCATCGCCTGAGCGCGACTACTTCCTCTCATGTCTTTTGGTCTTGCTGTTCCACTCGGGGGTGGTATGATCCCACACCTTTGTGCGCAACTTTGCTGGAGAGTGAATGGTAAACAGGCACCAGATGTGCCAACACTTCTCATACCACTTGTCCTCTGTTGTAGTATGGATTATGTTCCTTGCACACTATCGGTAGAATAGCTCAGTTGGTTAGAGCATCAGAGAGTAACTCTGAGGTCGCCAGTTCGATTCCGGCTTCACCATTTTCTCTAACATCCTCCTGGCCCACCCAGGTCTTATTCCATCCATTGCATCATGAGGGTGAGTAGCTCCCTTTCTGGGTGCCGCCGGTTGCCAAACTCGGGGGCAAGGCCATAATCTTTGAACATCAGGTTCTCCTGTGTGGAGTTTCTCTGTTGCGTCCCGTTGGTAAAACTGACAATACCGGTCTTGATCTTGACATGACACAGGTGCAGTCTGCACCATTTGAATATTGAATGCCCAGATACGGACACTCTCCAAATCGCTGTTCGCAGGAGCCACACGTGAGCTGAGATGAGCAAGATCAGTCAAATAGACTTTGGTTTTGATTCCTTATGTACCTGTTGTGTCTTTTACAGCTTGTGGAAGGTGCTCGGCTATGTTGTTGCCTGCTAAGATCTCAACAACTGATGGGAAAAATAGCTGAAGCCAGAATCAAACCAGCGACCTCAGAATTACTATCTGATGCTCTAACCAACTGAGCTATTCTGCTGATAGTGTGCCAGGAGCATAATCCATACTGCAACAACAACGAGCGCTCACTCATCGGAAGTGCCTGTTAACAGCCCCAAGATCAGCTTCTGGTTTTCGTCATTCTTTTTCTTGAACTTGAACTGTCACATCTCATTTTTTTGCTGTTTTAAAAATGCCTGCTCAGTAGAGATGAAGTGCTCTCACAGCTACAGAAAGATTAGCTGGGGAGGGTTAACAGGAGAAAAGACTCACAGGCGTTGCCTTGCGAGTATTCCAGCCTTGTTTGAACTCGACAGGGATGCTTTCCCCCTGAGGAGGAGGCTGGCTCCCATTGGCAAGCTTGAGCAGTTTGTTGGTTTGGGGTGTGCCCGATTGGTACCCTTTGGCAGTATCATTGAAGCACTTAATGTAGGCTTCCCATGCGGCCGTCCTGGCTTTGTGCAGGGGCTTCATAGACAGGGAATCCTGACAGACACACACACATCAGAGCTGGTTTGGAGGTGAGATATCCAGCGCACTCACCACAAGCTTCTTTTGGTATTCTTTTTTGGCCTCCTCTTTGTCTTCCTCTATGTCAGGGGTTTCTTGCGCTCGTCGGACAAGACATTCTATGACACATTTTTGATGTGGTTCTCCTGGGAGGGATGAGCAGGCTGTGACGTGAGATGGATGGATACACACATGGAGGATTTCCCCAGGGGCACTCTCCTTGGTACCGCGCTTCTTGCTGAGACAGATTGCAATGAAATCATAGTTGCCCATGCTTCTGGAACATGAGTTGCGGTATGGGCCATCCAACACATGATTTAATGCATCCTTGGCTACATGCACACTGAACTGGAGGCCAAACTGGAGAGCAATGTGAGATGAAGCGGGTGGGTTGATTAAATGGAAAGTAAGCTGATGACATTGTGGTCTCGTGGGGTATTGCCATATACCCTACGTGTGGGAGGCCAGCTCGCTTGCAGGCATAGTGAAAGGCATTATATGCAGAGTTGGACATGGCAGCTTTTTCCGGCGATGCAAACTCACACCCACCAGAGGTGGTTTCAAGAAAACTAGGGAGCCCATTAGAGAAAGTGATGGAAAGACTTGGGGCATACAGTGGTGTGTCCATGAGCACAGGTGCTCAGCGCTCGTATCTGCAAAAAGCTCCATAGGAGTCTGGGTTGATTGAGTAGAGAGTAAAGACAAAACAACTAGCTTCGTATTTTGTAACAAACCTCTTTGTGAGGAACAGGTGGGCCAACATAGAGACGGTGAGGTCAAACAGCACATTGTGTACATACTCAACCCCAGTAATTCGAAAGTTTTACTCAACTCCTGTAGCTGTGCCTATATGTATCTGTGTCGGGGGGGTAAGAGACGGAATAAATAACAGAGCTTTATCTACCTTGTGGTGTCTCAGGCAGAATGATATGAAGTAATTCATGTACCCAAGGCGATAAAATTGCAAATCCTTGCAGACAGGGACCTGGTGGCTCTTGATTAGAGAATAAAGTACAGACAAAAGAAAATACTTGCATAATTCAAATCTTGCCACTTTTTGTGTGTTGTTGATGATGCTCATGTGGTGAAATAGAAAGGGAATGAGGGCTGAACAATGTTCTGAATAGCAACTTGGTGGCCAGTTGTCTCGGAGTCCTCTAATATCACATTGAAAAATAAGTTGGAGTTCATTGCAACCATAGTAGAGTCTTCCATCGTGGTGATGATCCAAGTTGGAGGTATGTACCACTAGGGACAGTAAGAAATGAGGTGAGAGGATAGGCAGGAGCTTACACTGTACAACCTGGTTCTTGAGCTCTTGGTAGACATCATGCTTGATTAGGAGAGCCATGCCTGTCACGCTTTGATACCAATCTCCACGTGACAACACCGAACCTAAGCACTGAGACATAAACACCAAAGGACACGTGACACCAGAACGGAACGATGATGTCAGGGATATGTATAGATGAAATGCCCGGGGATAATAGGGTATGTTGCTACAGGATGTTTGACAAAAGGTTTTCCTAACTTATGACAGGTGTAGAATGACTACTGTGTCTAAATACATTCTCTTTGATACTATTTCTGGCTACACAGCCCCAAGGTGCCTGCTATATGTGCTACTTGCTTTGAGGCAGGCACATCCATGTGGTTGTTGCAGTATGGATTATGTTCCTTGCATACTATCAGCAGAATAGCTCAGTTGGTTAGAGCATCAGATAGTAATTCTGAGGTTGCCGGTTCAATTCCAGCTTCAGCCAATCTTTGATGCTTTATCAAAACAACCTACTAGTACCAGATAGCCTCTCATATTAGAGAGGACTTGTCCCGCACAAGTCGCCTCTAATTACAGATGAACTGGTTGTACTTGCCACCTTAGGAAAACCTTTGTTAGCCTCCCCCTAGGAGTAGACAGAGGGTGGACGAAACATTAAATTTCCTCCTCTGCCACCGCCAAAACAGAGGGTGTGGACATGTTCCCTGGCCCTGCCCTTATTGGGTGGACATTGGGGATGAAGGCAGGCAGAGGGCAGGGAGGGCACATGTTACTTTCAGAATCTCAGAGGTAGAGAAGATATATAAGTAAAAGTGACTTAAATACTATATCCACAGTCTCACCACATGCACTACGGGTGTAGAGTGGACATTCAAGATACTTTGAAAGTTGGGTATGTATTCTCATGTGCCGCCGCCACCTCCTTGATGGTGGGGTAGACACTTGGGTGAGAGAACTTAAGAAAGGTTGGGCATGTATCATCACATTGATAAGCTGGCTAAATGACCAGGCATGAAAACACACTAATTGCGTGTTCTTGTACTGTGTTATAGGCCGTTATATGTCCATATGAGAGCTAGTGCGATGCCCGAGCAGCTAGCTAGGAAGCTACGCATGTGCAGAAGTAGAAGAGCTCTGATTTGATGATGATACCACTATGGGTTGGATTCCAAGAGAGCATGGAAGCTTTAGCTAAAGATCTACTCAACCATTCTATGACCGAATTGGGGTTTATCTGCATGTATTCCGAACAAGGGTACCACATACCATCCATCTAGACTATAAGCGAGGCCAAGGAGCATTGGTTGCAGGTTAAATTAAGTCAATAACAGTGTTGAGGCAGTTGCGGGCGCATAGGTTTCAATTGTGACATATTCTGTCACATGCAGGCACAAGTACAAAGGAGCGGCAGGTTCTTTATAAGGATTTACTACTATCAATGGTCACTTGAAGGCAATAGAGCTAGCGGCAGGCAGATCACAGATGAAACTGGTAAAAGCTGATGACTCACCGGGCCGGGTGATCGGTGGGATCCCACGCTTGACAGCGGGCAGAGGGCTTCTATGATCGAGCTCGATCGTTATTTGATTAAAGAGTGATGGGAACAGACAGAGGGTACTGCATGTTGGCCCAGGAACAGAGATGAGGCAGTGTTGGATCAGGTCTAGACCAGGGCTAGGGCACGGGGATATCATTACTCCGCTCAGCAGGATGAGTAAGGCAGTCTGGGCATGCAATTGTGCCGGAAATATACTAATCTATTTGAAACTGACTGTTTATAGGTGGCTTTCTGGGCTAAATACTGTGGAAAGCTCCACAACCCTGGTCCTAGGGCATGAATTGTCCGTGTTATTGTTGTTCCTGTAATTTCCTAATTGAGACTTGCGGGTTTGTATAAATAGAGTAGATATCTTCGTTGTAGAGTACTGGATCCTGCCCCACTGATAATCGGTTTATACTGGTTGCCTTTGGGACCAAGCAGCTTCCTTGTCAGTGTAGTAGAACTCGGGAAGGAGTTGAATTGATTATATTGGGATTTATCGGATATTTGGCTTGTTGGAGAGCTTATTCACCTCTTTCTCACTGCTAGGACTGTCTAGGAGACAACTACGCCAGTGGGAATGCCTTGAATACGCTCAGAGTACCTCAGAGAAATATATTATTGTCTTTCTGCTTGTGTATCTCTTGTTTATGGAGAAAGTGTTGAGTTGGGAATAAACCACTTGTTGCATGCATTTGAGATAAGGGCCTGATCGGGTGTGCGGCTTCGTGGGACCTGTCCTGCTAAAAACGAAGTGTACGCCTTGGCAGAGCGGGACGGGATCAAAGCGGAGCTGATGGAGTGCTCGGTTGGCCCATCGGCTCCATTTTTGAGACCGTCACGCCATTTTTATTTCATTTTTCAGCCTGCGCACCTGTTTCCGCTCGTACTCGCTCCCGCTCTCTCTTTTTATATTCTAATACTATGGCGAGGAAGGAGAGTGGTCCCCGTTGTACATGGAGCGACTCCGACGACTCCACATTGGTCTCAAAAATGCGCTGGCTCAAAGACAAAGGTTTTCAGTCCGACAATGGCTGGAAGCGACCAGTATGCCCGGCAAGGAGCTCCTTGAGCCAAATTTCACCAGTGAGAAGCGAGGTATGCATTGGGATGGGATTTGGAACGTCGAGGCAAAGAGATGCGGCAGTGAATGCGACGGCCGTGCAGACTAAAGCTGCGACCAGCCTGATTTTGCGCTGTCGCTCGCGTTCCCGGGCCTT